GTAAAATTTTCATTACTGACTTTGTGCCTAGTTTCTCAATAATTGCATGTATTCTGTGTATTCTGTTGTTAGTCCCTGCACATGCCAATTTCAATCTGACTGTTCAGACACACTTTTCGTCATGTGACAACTCAGCACTTGCCAAGATCTTTAATGTGAATTCATGTATATTCAACCATGTGTGATTCCTTAAATTCTCTGAGGGAGTGTGCTTATAACGGCTCATTCAAGTCATGTTCTTCAGGTCAATGCACTTGGACTATTAGTCACGAATGTATTTTCAATGCACTTGGCTTAGTCATTGTGTGTTCTGTGTCTTACCATCTCATGATTCCATCTTTTATGCGCCATATTTACTTATTGAATATTCTAATCCTTCTCTGTAGATAGAAATTGCTCGGCAGGCAATTTCTAGCTTTTTGCTGCTTTTCATCCCTAAATATCTGTAATATATTAGTACACGTATACAATGCAAGAAATATCATCCAGCACGAGATCCCAGTGAAATGTTCATTGAACCAATTACATTATTCTAACTTGAGAAATTAAGGTTTATATAATCATCATACTCAAGTAAAAATAGGATTCAATAACTGAGACAAATGTTGGAGAATTTCCACTAGGACACTAATTTATCTAATCTAATCTATCATAAGATGTCATATACTTAATACGTGTATCATACATACAATTGAATTCCCACTCCCAAGTGTCAAAACTTGAATACCGGCAGCATGCAATCCTTTTTTTACATATCTTTGGTGGCGTAGCTACATCGCAGAACATTCTACATTGCTGAGACATGCACCACTGTGCCATGTATTTCTATGGGCTCTGCGCGAACTGCTGTGGTCGAAGAGCCGGTGAAAACAGCTAAAGTATAGGAAACAGCACAAACTCAAGCCTAGCAACCAAATGTATATATGTTGCACATGTAGGAGTAATCTTGTTATACTGTTCAGGGGAGTCTCTTTTCTGAGAGTTTTCGGCCTTTGTTTTCACCATGATGGTTACCAGGCGGTGAAAATGCCCCGATGTCTGCCCCGAGAATAGAGCAAATGAGCCAACTTTACTTTGGTTACTACCAACAAATTATAGCAGTTTGTCTAGTTTTTAAAATTAAAAATCACACAGTTTCATCTCAAGTGTTGAAAGTCCCAAAATGAAACCAATTCATTGGTATTGGTGATATTAGAAAAGTTGACCCAGCTAAGTCTAACTGTTTAAAATTTTATAAATTTGACAATTCAAACATGGAATATTTTCAAATAACCTTATTGTGCACTTGCTCATTGGCTGCCTGTGAATTTTTTAAGTATTTACAAAGATTAAGGGAATGCCTTTGTTGAGCTGAGAGTGTCATATTAAACAGTTTGAAATATAAGCATACTAATTTTTTTAAATATACATGTATAAAGTGGATTACATTCATGGGTTGTCTATGTGATCGTATGCTTTGATACAAATTCCATTGTATGAAATCAAACCAATATACATATATATGTATATTAGATAGAATGTATAGTGACAAGATGACTTCATTAGTGAATAAATTATAAGAAGAATAAGGCTAAAAAAAATGTATCTGGTCTTGAAATATTTTTTTTTTCAGGGTGTGGGAAGGAAATTTGTTCTTTCATTATCAGTCTTTGGTAGAAAACAGAAAAATAAGTCTTAGATGGCCATATTTGAGCTGACCCAGAAACAAATCATTTATTGTGTTTGGTACATTGTTGTGTTTGATGTAGGTTCCATGCGATGGTACACATATACATTGTTTGTTGAAACAAAATGTTGATGTATGCCAGTAATAGTGGTACTTGTTTGGTCATTTATAGAAGAACTATAATAGCTAATGACATGAGTAGAAATAGTGGTTTAAATTATTCAACTATTTGTGTTTTAACACATTGCCTGTGACCCGTTAAATACCATTCATATCTGCTATTTGTGGAGGCTTGTAGTAGAGAATGTGTTAAACAGATTGTCTGGAATTTTACTGAGTAAACCAGACAGTTTGTCAACCAGTCCTGTCATTTCATATGATGTACACACATGTTAAGTGTCACAACTTTGACAGATTCTCTAAATGGCTATAGTGACCTCATAATTTAGCCACAGATTTCCCTATGATTT